TTAAATATGTCCTTATTAGTTATTTACTGTTAAACAACAACAGTTAACTATTCCGCTAACTATTGTATAACCAAACAATTATATTTATCGAATCTGTTATTTACTATCCGTTATCCACTTTTCGTTATCCGCCATCCACTATCTGCTAACCACCACCCACTACTCACTATCGTTATCTGCTACCCGCTACCCGTTACTCGCTACCCGCTACCCGCTACCCGCTACCCGCTATTCGCTATCCGTTAAATTTTAACCGCTGTACCAAAGAGACTCTTAATTTAGGTTAAATATAATCGGCCACCGGAATCTGGTCCAAAGTTCAGGTTTCATTTGCTGTGGGTATTTTCCCAATTCTAGATCAAGTTAAATAGGCTTCACACTTACCTATTGTGGATCAAGTTCCATAAATAGTGAAGTACTACTCTGACAAACAATGACGTTAGATATTTTTTATACTGTCTCGAGCTCAAATTATCTATCAATATATTTAACTTGCATATAATTTTAAGTAATGCTTTTATATAGCCTTTGAGTGATAATTGAAAATATTTTTAATCAAATAAAATTGCAAAATAAAATTATATATTAAAACAAAAAAAATCATTAGTCATTCATGTACCATATAAAAATATTACTTAAAATTACATGTAAATTAGTTGCAGTGAAAGACAATTTAAGATAGAATGAATAGTTCTAACATTTGAATTTTCAAATTAATTAATATCAAAGATATCTATAAATCGTTTCACACATAAAGATAGACACGGAATGACAGATATTATTTGGCCCATGACAATAAAAAGGTTCTAACATGCAATGAGATCAAATTTAGAGACAATAATATTAATTTTGTTTCTTGATTCAGATGATTCCTCGGATACCATGTGGGTTTTCAAGACCAAGATGTACAAGAAATGCATGTTGAGGACAGGAAGCAAAGGGACCTGGATCGGATGCTTAGATTATATAAGTAAGCGGACCGTTGCGGAAATAATTAAAAAATTAGGGGACAAGATTTATGAAAATTAAGCAGACGGCAGGACGTCCCCTAATCCCCGAGGAGATTAACCTGTGGTTAATTAATGTGATGGATTGCGTCCAAGGCAAAAAAGAATGCAGTTGCCACGGCGATAGATAGCCCGGTGAATTTGTTGTTCCACGTATACATTTTGCCAGCTGGAATTGTGAATGGTTGCCACGTGTGAAGCGGTGGAAGCCGTCCCCCACCAAGTTCCTAGGGGTTGAGCTGGATGTTGGTTTTGGCTTCACTCTACACACCGTTTCACATATTTTTTCTTTTACGTTAGTCACATGATAAGTTTCATTTCTTTGGTACGTGATATGTTATATAATTTAAATTTAGAAATTTTTATTTATAATTAAAAAAATTATTATTAAATTATTATTTTTTATTATTTTTTTTAAATTAAACTTTTTATATCAAATTATTACATTAAATTTTATTTAATTTATAATTAATTTTAATTAAATTTTATAAAAGTAAAATTCTCTCAAATATTTATTATTTTATTTACAAAATTTAAATTAAAAATTTTATATTTTAAAAATTAACTTCATTTCATTCAAAATCACACATTTTTTTTCTTCTTTCTTGCCGACTGCTTTCACGTCCTTTGAGACCCGAAAACGATACGTTATCATCCCATTACACCCGGGCTGCCTGCCCAATACCGCTGCCTACTCCCTTTTCATTTTAACCGACGGTAAAAGAAGCAAAATTTTTTCATTTTAACCCACTGTAAAAGAAGCAAATTTTTTTCGTTTTAACCCACCGTAAAAGAAGCAAATTTTCACCATCTCCGTCCGTCTTTTTGAACATTAACAAAAAGTAAAAAAAGTTATTAATTTTTTTTATATTTAATAATAAATTATATAAAAAAAGATAAATTTTTTTTATTTTTAAATTTCTTATTATTCAATTTAAAATTTTAAAAAAAAAACATCTAATTTAAAATATTAGGTACTTAACCATTAAGCCATTACTTAGGGAAACAAAATGACAATTAATAGGAGAAATGATTATTGCAAGGTCGTAAATATCATATTAGCATGTATATCAATATTATTACAGAAACAATATGTATTAAATATTGATATTTTTTATGCATCATTTAAGATTTATTATTATAACTATATATTTTTATATAAATTAAATATAACTATGAAATGATAT